GGCTGGTGGGATCCGCGCTGTGCCGGATCTGTCCCCAGCCCCTTCTCGGGACCAGCCGGGACACCCCGGGATGGGGACGGACACCGCCGGCGTCCCCTGGGCTGAGCCCGCGTCCCCAAGCCCCGGGTGTCCCCAAGCCCCGGGTGTCCCCAGCCCCAAGGTTGTGTGTGTCCAACACCCGCTGCCGAGAGCAACCCTGCAAAATCCTGCTTGTCCACTCACATGATCAAACGATTTTAGGCAATTTTAGGTGATTTTCTACGCCGAGCTGCTGCCCTGGGCTCCCCTCTCGGGCCAGTTTGGCTCCACAGCGGGACTGGTGGGAAGGACCCACCTGCCTCACCGCTGAGACCTGACCCCGAGCCCCCCGGCCGGAGCCATCCCCACCCCGGGACGCAGCTCCCGCCGCTGGAGCCTGAACTTCCCAAAACAAAAAAAACGGAGGGGGGGAGGCTGGCCCCGCTCCCCCCGGCCCTCCGAGGCACCGTGTACCGCCCGCCCTGAAAGAGCCCTTCCACTCCTACCACTTTTTTTTTTTTTTCCTTAAATAGATCTCTCTCTGAAATAGGTTTTTTTGTTTGTTTGTTTGTTTTTTAACGTGTGTTTGGACACAAAATAAAGCTTTGGATTTACATGGAAGCTCTTTTCCATGTGACAGAGCCACTTTCCATCCCCGCCCCGCGCTTCCTAGCATCTGCCTTTCCAAGAAAAGGTCCTTGGCTACTGAGGGATCCTCGGGGGAGCCCTGCTTACGATGGGAAGATTGGAAACATAATATATATATATATTTTTTTCTGTTTTTTCTTAAAAAAAGGGAGAGAAACATCTTTAAAGAGAAAAATCGGAGGAAAAGTACTAACTAGATTTTGTGACACTTTGTTTTTTTTTGGTTTAGGAGAGTCCTTGCGTGTTACCCTCAGACGACCCTCCTGCTACATTCAATCCTGATGCTTCATTATTTGAATTATCCTCAAAGTGCTTCAGCTCCTGGCCGTTCCTCTGCAGGGTGTCCTCTGATTCTTGACTCTCCCCACCGGCTTGAAAACTTCCATCTTCGGGGTTCCCCGTAGGGGTGGTAGGCAGCCCCCCGGCATCTCTCACCCGGGGTCTACGGCCCCTCCTGGATGGAATCCCATTGCATCCATCTTTTTTAAGGTGCCTGTGCAAGTGGTCGGAGCGGACGAAAGTCTTGCAGCAGCTGTCGCACTGGTAGGGCCGCAGGCCGGTGTGGACGCGCATGTGGTTCTTCAAGTCGTAGTTGTGAGCGAAGGCGGCGCCGCACTGCTGGCACAAGTACGGCTTCTCCCCCGTGTGCTTCCGCATGTGGACCTTCAGCTTGTCCTGCCTGGGGGGAGAGAAAGGACAGGGCGGGGGGGGCGGGTCAGCCTCGGGGTCTGCCTTCGGCCGGGCGCCCGGTGCGGGGCTGGGCATCACCCACTATGGGGCTGGGCACCAGTACGGGGCTGAGCATGACCAGTATGGGGCTGGGCACCAGTACGGGGCTGAGCATTGACCAGTATGGGGCTGGGCACCAGTACGGGGCTGAGCATTGACCAGTATGGGGCTGGGCAGCAGTACAGGGCTGAGCATTGACCAGTATGGGGCTGGGCACCAGTACGGGGCTGAAGCATTGACCAGTATGGGGCTGGGCACCAGTACGGGGCTGAGCATTGACCAGTATGGGGCTGGGCAGCAGTACAGGGCTGAGCATTGACCAGTATGGGGCTGGGCACCAGTATGGGGCTGGGCTCCAGTACAGGGCTGAGCATCACCCAGTATGAGGCTGAGCACAGTATGGGGCTGGGCATCACCCAGTAAGGATGTGAACACCAGTATGGGGCTGAGCAACACTTGGTATGGGGCTGAGCATCGCCCAGTACAGGGCTGGGCATCACCCCAGGGCTGAGTATCCCCCAGTATGGGGCTGAGCATTGGTACGAGGCCAAGCACTGCCCAGTACAGGGCTGGGCATCACCCAGTAAGGGTCTGAGCACCAGCACAGGGCTGAGCATCAGTACAGGGCTAAGCACTGCCTGGTACAGGGCTGATCATCGCCCAGTAAGGGTCTGAGCATCACCCAGTACGGATGAGCATCGCCTAGTATGGGGCGGAGCATCGCCCAGTAAGGGTCTGAGCACCAGTAGGGGGGCAAGCATGGCCCAGTATGGGTCTGAGCATTGGTATGGGGCTGAGCACCACCCAGTACGGGGCCGGCCAGCTCCTGGCAGGGCCTGCGCAGCCGCAGCTCGCTGGAGCCAGGGGAGGGCAGTTGCAGCAGCTGGGCCAGGGGCCAACAAGGCCACGTGAGCCACAGCATCTCGCTTCTTCCTGAAGGAAAAAAAAAATATCAGGCACGAAGCGCGTGGCGAGGCAGCAGCAAGGAGCAACATCCCTGCCCGGGCGGGGGGAACCGCTCGCCTCTTCCCGAGTGAATTCAGCCCCATCCCTCTCTGCTCTCCCCTGGGGAAAAGGCAGGGCCCAGCCCCGCACACCCCACGGCAGCGGGGGAAATTCTGGCAGCGTGAGGTCCCAGGAAGTCCGAAACCTTCAGGGAAGGATCAAAACACCAAGGATGTGTGTCTACCTCGGGTTTTCGTGCAGCTCCCTTCCGGGGCGGGGCGGGGCGGGGAATGTGGGCCTTGCTTAGAGCAACGTGGTAGGCAGCAGCACATCAACACAGTTTTAAAAATAAATTTTTATCATTTGTAAAATTTGATAAATATTTATGACTTTTAGAAAAATCACTCCGCCTTTCTGTCAGAAGATTATTATTAGAGCGTCACCGCCGCTCCTCCCCCTGCGAACGCAGAGGAACCAGGAAGCACAAGTGAACAAAAATCAGCGTTAACCGACGGGCTCAGGTCCCCACCCGGCGAGGGGGTGGCAGGGAAACACCCTGTGCAAAACAGTCCCGGCTCGTCCTCCTGCCTTCACCCCAAAAGCTCCTTCAGGAGCAGGGACTGCTGCGCTCTCAGGAGGCTCCCTGTGCCCAGGCTTCCCCAGCCGACCGCCACACGCGGTGGTTTTAACGGCACAGGGAGATTTGTTTTCAAGAAACGCATTGTCACCCGATGGGATCGGGATGGGGAAGGAGAGCACGGTGAAGGAATGCAGTAAAGAATAATAAAACTGGGGGAAAAATAAGGGTGGTGGAAAGCTTGGTCAGGTTTGTAGCTGTTTTTACATCGGGAGCGCTGAGATAAGGCTTCGAGCACAACCCAGGTGCTGGGGGAGAAGCAGCAAAAGCAACTCATTGACACCGTCGCTGAAACCGAGCCAGAGCAGATGAGACCTGGGCAGCAGCCGGAGCTCATCGCACCCGGCCATACCCCAGGGCAGGCTGTGGTGGGGGGACGAGGCTGGTGCAGCCCCGGGGAGCCGCCACAGGCAGAGGGAGCTGGGAAGCAGCTGTGCTTTTGAGCAGAAGCCTCATGGAGATTTTCCACAACCTGTGCAAACGCCTGAGTCGAGCTCGGTGGCCGCTGTGGGGTGAGACACAACGTGGGGCACAGCCAGGCCGAGCGTGGCTCCCTGTGCCCATCCGGGCTGCTCTGTGCCCAAACACTGGCTGCGGGAAGAAGCAAGCAGGGGGATGTATTTTGGGCTGGAAAAGAACACCGCCCCAGTATATTATGAAAGGGCCTCGTTTACAGGGGCTGGGAGCGGTTCCACCCTGCCCTCTGCAGTGCCAGCCCCTCCTGGGAGCCCGCAGGGAGCAGGTCCCCATCTGAAACCCACAGGAGGAAGGTGAGATTGAAAAGCACCAAGGTGGCACCTCCTGCTCCCCCAAGAAGCCCCCATGCCTCCCCTCATCTCCCCGCCTCACTGCCACCCCCAGTGCCGAGGGCTGCCGGGGACCCCGCGGCGTTTCCGCGTC